GGATAGTTTTGCATCACTATCTCCTTCCTACCCAAAGCTAATGCCAGTCTCATCTCTGGGCAGGCTGGTCCAGCTGCTTTTGGAAATACTAGAGATCGAACTCAGAGCTTGGTGTGTGAAAGGTCACTCTACCACTTCAGCCACACCCTTGTTGAAGGCTGCTCTGACTTCTGCATCCTGGAAACAGGTCATCTTGCTGTACCTGCTGCTCAGAAGGCCCTACCTCTGGCCCTGTGGATTCCAAATGCTCCCTCAAGCCCAGCTCAAGTGAAGCCTCTGTAGCTTCTTCAGCAGACACAGCTGTCTCTGTTCTCATTGGTGACAGCCACTCACTCACAAGTGAAGTGGAGCTAGGGGATAGGAAGGGACAAGATGGTAAAATTCAGACAGGTCCGGTGGCTCATGCCTATGATCCCAGCTATTCAGGAGGCTCAGACCTGAGGATTATGGTTAAAAGCCAGCCCAGGCAGGAAAGTCTGTGAGTTTCTTATCTCCAATTAATGAGCAAAAAAAGCCAGAAATGGAGCTATGGCTCAAGTGGTAAAGCGCTGGTCTTGAGCAAAAAAAAAACCCACAAAACTCAAGGACAGTGCCCAGGCCCTGAGTTCAAGTCCCAGGACCAGTACACACACACAAAATAATAACAAAAAAGATGGAAACATTCAGCTCTAAATACCAAGTGGAGAAGGCCCAGCAAGCAACACCAACTTCTGCCATGTCTGCCTGAGAGAAGCCTGGTGTAAAATGATAAGGGGAAGTTATGTTTACAAGGTGGCAGCTAGAGCCACAGGTGCGGGGGATGCTGTGTTGTATACAGATCTTATGAAGGATAGAAAGCTTTCTTCTCCATCTTTATCATTCAGTGAAGTGCCTCAGAAACCGCCGTCCCCACCACGTCCTGCCAACAAGGAGGTGAACTGTGGGCTAGAATTGCACCTGTGCACACTCCTCTGCCTACCTACAGGCCAGCACGCCAGGCCTCAATCCTCCCGGAGTACATCATGACCCCCACCTTGGCCTCAGGGACTAAGGCAGGCAGCAGGACACCCAGGGCCCCACCTTATAGGTAAAGACACTGTGGCCCATCCCTGAGGCAGAAGGCAGGAGGCAGGTGGCAGGATCTTATAACTGAATGCAAGAAGAGAACCAAGGGATGACCAAATGACTATGGCAGGAGAAAAGCCACTCAAGAGAGAAGGGTAGCTCTCTTCTCTCATTGGGGGAGGGTCAGATCCATGGGGTCAGGAGCAAAGTAAAAAAAAACTACAGGAGCCCAGAGTTCCCCAATGGCAGGAAATGTTCTGAAACCACAATGAGAAGGGCTGGTCAGGTAACAGGAAAAGCAGCTCCCAGACAAGAAATCAGGAGCGAGCCGGGCGCTGGTGGCTCACGCCTGTAATCCTAACTACTCAGGAGGCTGAGATCTGAGGATCGCGGTTCAAAGCCAGCCCGGGCAGGAAAGACCGTGAGACTCCTATCTCCAATAAACCACCAGAAAACCGGAAGTGGCGCTGTAGCTCAAGTGGTAGAGCGCTTGCCTTGAGCGGAAGAGCTGAGGGACAGCACTCAGGCCCAGAGTTCAAGCCCCACGACTGACAAAAAAAAAGAAATCAGGAGCGAGGGAGCTGGCCTCTAACATGCACCTTTCTGCTCTGTGACTTCTTCTTCTTGTCCATCATAGTGAAGACCCTACAACATGGCCCCGCACACTGGGGTTGCCACAGAATCAGTGAGAGTGCAGGGTAAGAGACAAATGCTGAACCATCAATAGCAGGATGGAGCCCTCCTGACCCCAAACCCAACAACCACCTTCCTTAGTCACTTCCTTACCCCCAGGCCTAAGCCTGCTGATGGGTCATAAATGCTCAGGATCTAGCTAGCCCAGAGAAGTTTGCTTTGATTACCTGCCAGGCAACAAGAGGCACATGGTCTCCCCAGGTTCCTTCAGCTCCAGACCCAGCATGGGCTGCCCACAACCTGCAGATCTGACTTCCCCACTGCACAAGTGCCTGCAGGGATGGGTACCCTAGACCAGAGGCTCTCACAGTGTCCAAATAATAAGCTCTACTGGCGATGGTGCCATCTCCCATGTAGAGAGACGGTGACAAAGCAGCCTCCTCTTGACACTCTAAGGTCTTGGAAATGCCAGCTGGTTCCTCTCTGAGGCTCCACTGGGAGGCCTCACTGCCTCACAGAGTTACTGAACACTTCCCTGGGAGGGAAGTGTCAGGGGTGGAAAGGGACAAGGATGTACAGCTGCTTTTCCTTGATTGTGGCCACTTGGAGAGAAGACTAGTACATCACCTCCTCCACCAGAGCAGCTCTTTTTGCACTAAGCTTTGCCCCATGAGAAGAGCTTCCTGGTAGAAGAAAAGGATACACTATAGCTCCACAGTAGAGTACTTGCCTAGCAAGTGTGAAGCTCTAGGTTAAGACCACACACACACACCTACACACACACCTGTTACCCTTCCTACAAAAGGCTTCAGGTAGAACCTTGCCATACCAATTGCTATCCTAACTTTTTTGTACTATCTTAAATAAAATAAATGTAACTTCCCCTTGAAAATCATTTTTCTAAGCATTTCATGACCTTCTTCGAAGCCACAGAATTCTGCACCGTGGGAAAGGGGATCTGAAATCACAGAGGTTAGGACTAGCTCCAAGAACGACAGCACTCTGACTCCACCTTTTCCACAAGCATGGAAAGATGAAATCTAATGGAATCTCTAGTTCAGAGATTAAAGCTAAGGCTGATGGACACACATCCCAAGAAGAGCTTCCAGCCTTCATTCTAATTTCTAACGATACCTTGAAAAGGCACCTGGAAAAAGATCTTTGATAAACCTCCTCCTTCAAAAATAAACAGGGCTGGGTGCTGGTGGCTCATTCTTATAATCCTAGCTACACAGGAGGCTGAGATCTAAGTATCCTGGTTAGAAGCCCAGCCCAGGCAAGAAAGTCCACGAGAAACTTACCTCTATTTTTTTTTAAATAAAGCCAAAGGTACAAATGTGGCTCAACTGAAAGAGTTGGGAAAAAAAAAAAAAAAAGCTTGAGCAGAAAAAAAGCTGATTGACAGTATTCAGGGTCCAAGTTTGAATCCCAGGGTGGTCACTAAAGAGAGAGAGAGAGAGAGAGAGAGAGAGAGAGCACACCTGACAAGACTCCTCCCTCCCTCCATCCATCCATCCTCATTCTCATGGCCACATCTTGATAAGCCCTTCTTTTAGTGTCTCACAAAGCACTATTCCAGCAAAGGACTACCTCTGCCCACAAACTCACAATTCAACCACATTTTCAAGCACAGAATGTAGGTTGGAGGGACAGAAGTGTCAGAGTCAGAAGCCCCCCAAAGGAAGGAGACAGCACAGCCACCAAGGGAAAGACTTGCTTTGTGGCTGGTAGTTTAGCAATTTGTATGTCAGTTTCCTTAAGCTATAAAAAAGGTTGAGGCTGAGATGGCCCCGGCACATGAGGGCTGCAACCAGGAACACCTTATAAAATCACTCCCTTAATAAGTAATAAGTAAGGCTATTAACAGCCACATAAACGGGTCTCCTCTACCTCTGACCTACAAGTTGCTCAGGGCAGTTTTCTGCTCTCAAGGTTCACTCTGCTTTTATTCAGTCTTCACCGAGATAGGAAGGAAAGATAGATAGACAGACAGACAGACAGACAGACAGACAGACAGACAGACAGACAGACAGACAGATAGATAGATAGATAGATAGATTGATTAGATAGGTAGGTGATAGATTGATTCACTCTTAAGTCAAGGACAAGATTCAGAAAAGGCGGACCTGCTGTGCCCTGGCTCTGAACATGTTAAATAGAACAATAGATCATAATTCAAAACTCCTGGGGCCCAGTACTTTCTGGGCATTTTAACTATTATGAGCAAGAGTTTTCTTACTGGCAAAGCAGGACTAATAAGGCTAGCTAGCTCCCATGGCATTAGTAACAAATACGATAAGGTCGAGTGCCTGCTACAGCAGTAGGTGCACAATAAATGTAGCTCTCCTTCCTTGGTGCCATACCTTGCTCCTTGGCTAAAAGGCTGGCTTCCACACTCCCTAACCTGGCCTGGACAAGCCTTACTACCACCAGTCATCAACTCCCAGCAGTACCCCTCCCCCCTACACACCACACACACACACACACACACACACACACACACACAATCAATCACCTCCACGAGCAAAGAACACAGGGGTTCCAAAGGGCACCAGGCCAGAGAACCGGGCACCAGCCCTTCCTTCCCCAGGCAGCTCCAGTGCTCTCAAGGAGAGAACCGAGTCCCGGCAACCACTACTAGGATTTTCCCATGATGCAATGCAACTTCCCCAACTTTTCCGGGCCCACAGTTCCCAAAGAAACCTGGGCAGGCATTGTGCATAAATCAACCACAAGTCGGGGGTCCAGTTAAAAGAGACTGAGAGCTCTTCCTGGGAAGGAGAAGAAAGCTGGCACACACCACAACGTAAAAACAAAACAGAAAACAGGCACCAGTGGTCCTGAAACGGGGTGACAGGAGGGGGAGGTGGGGGTCCCTGGCCTGGATCCCCCTTCCCTTCTTTCTAGATTAAACCGCTGGTTAAAGGCTAGCACAGGCTCCCAAACCACTGGCAGACGGAGAACAGCCTTAGGAAAAGCTCTGATCCACATCCTCCAAGGGGTCCCCCGCGTCCCCCCACCCTCACTCCGGTGGCCAAGAAAGGCCCCTGCAAGCCGTAGCACCTGAAGGGCAAAGGAGGAGGCCTTCCATGGGGGGGGGGGGCATTGTTCCCAGCCACAGGCGGGACTTGGGGAAGGAGGTGTGAATTCTCCATCTGGGCCTCGCCCCCTCCCCAGATGGACTAAACGGAGAGCAGGTGCCATGGGGCGCGGCCGGCGCCAGGTAGCCGAGGTCCCCCCCCCGGGGGAGCGCGCGGCGGGTGCCGGGGTGGGGGGGTGCGCCCGGGGACCCGCGGCGGGGGGCGGGGATGTCTGCCACTCACCCGCACCCTCGGCGGGCGGCGGCGGCGGCGGCCCCACCACGCCGTTCAGGTAGAGGATGGGCAGCAGGTGAGGCTGCGTCTTCTCGAGCGCGGCGCGCAGGTCCGGGAAGTGGTCCCGCTCCTTAGCCAGCAGCAGCTTGAGCAGCAGCTCCGCCTTGGCGCCTCCCGCCTCCTCGTCCAGCTGCCGCCGCTCGCCGGGGCTCAGCGCGCCCGCGGCCTCCAGCAGCCCGAGCACCGCTTCCACCTCGGTCATGGCCTGCGCCAGGCTCTGCTGACACTGAGCGAGCAGCTCCCGGCGCCGGGGCTCCATGGCGGCGGGCCGCCCCCCGCCTCTCCCCCCCGCCGGACGCGGCACCCCGGGGGCGCCCCGAGGCCGGGCCGGGCTGGGCGGCCGCCTTAGCGCGCCGGGAAGCGCGAGGCGGCGGGGGCCATGGGCCGGGGGCGTCTGCGCGCCTGGGGGTGGGGGGCGAACCCCGGGACCGCGGGGGCCGGCGCTCAACAGAGGCCGCCGGCCGGGCTCCGGAGCGCAGCCATGTTGGCTGCGGCGGCGGCGGGACTGGAAGGGGCGGAGGAGGAGGAGACGGAGGAGGAGGAGGAGAAGGAGGAGGCGGAGGTGGGGACGGCGGCCGGGGCGCGCCCGGAGGCCCGGCTCCAACCGGGCATGCCCCCTCCCCCTCCGCCTCCGCGCGCGGCCGCCCCGCCGCCGACTCCGACCCCCCACACCCCCGGGGTCCCCGACGGCTCCGGGCCCCGCTCCGAGGCCGCCGAGGCCCGTGCGCTCAGTCCCGGCTCACCGGGGCCCCGCGATCGCCGCCCGCCCCGCCGCGGCCGGCCTCTCCGGCCTCTCCCTTCCCGGGCCTGCCCTCGGGGAGGCGGCGGTGAGCGAGGGGGATGGGCGGAGGGGAGGGGGGCGGGGAGGAGGGGTCCCTCTTCTTTCCCCACCGCCCTCCAGTCGGGGACGCAGCGCTATCCCCGCTCTCTCGGGCTCCCCCCACCTCCCCCCCAGGCCCGGTCCTGGACGCAGAGTCAGACCAGGCACACAGCCAGGGCCCCCCCGCCCCTCAAGCTATTAGAGACCATCTCACACATATCCTTACTCCCACCCCTGACACACACACACACCCAACCCGGGGTCTATCCTGAGAACTCCTAAACAAAGTCTAGACACAATGGAGGGAGAGAGGACCCCCAAAACTGGATATCGATTTAAATTCTGCCTTGAATCTGTGAGGTTTTCCTGTTGCAAAGAGTCTTATGTAGAAATTTCCCAATAAAATGACCTAAATTGGGATTCTTTCATAAGATCTTTCTCCTCCACATCCACTTTTCCCAACAACTCCCCCCCCCCCCCACCTCCTCACTTCTTACTCTCTCTCCCCACCATGCACTGGGGCTTGAACTCAGGGTCTGATTCTGGTCCTACTTTTTTTTGCTCAAATCTATCACTTAAGCCATGTCCCCCCACTTCCCGCTTTTTGTTGGTTAATTAAAGAGGGTGGCTTGAGTGTGATTCTCAGATCTCAGCTTCCTGAGAAGCTAGGATTAGAGGCATTAGCCACATAGAACCCAACCTCACCTACATTTTAACCAATATTCAATTCCCAGATTCTAAAGGGATTTGGTGTTGGCAAGAGAAGTGGAAAAGGACAGTGAAGGTTTGCAGTGAAGTCCTTGATCTTTCTAGCACAGGAGGTGCTTTTCCCTGAATATCACCTCCAAACCCAGGAGCTACCTAGCCTCCCCTATGACTTCAAGAGGATGTGCTAAGATTCTGAGCCAAGAACAGCTTCCCTATTCTATTACAGCCTTCAGTAAATACAGACCACTTTCCTCACCTTATCCCCATCCCCTGATGGAGGACGGGGGGCCTCCAAACCCCTTCCAAGGACCACTTCAACTGTCTGCACTACAAGTAATCTCATTTACAAACGTGAGGGCCCAGAAGCTCCTAGCAGACTGTCACTGCCATCCCATGTTTCTATTTCTCCCAAAATAAAGGTGGGGAGGGGGGGAGGAAGAGAAGCGGAGGTGGAGGTGGTAGCAGCAGAAGCAATTAACCGCCAAAAAGTGAGCTATGGCTCAAGTGGTAGAGCACTAGGCTTGAGTTCAAAAGTTCAGAGACAGTGCCCAGGACTAACACGAAAGGAAGAAAGAAAGAAAAGAGAGAGGGGGGAGGGAAGGGAGGAAGGGAGAGAGACAGTGAGAAAGAAAGAGAGAAAGTGAGAAAGCCAAGAGCTGGTGACTTACACCTGGAATCCTCGCTACTCAGGACTTGGGAGACTGAGATCTAAGGAACATGGTTCAAAGTCAGCCCAACAGACAAATCTGAGACCTTATCTCCAATTAACCAGCAAAGAGCCAGAATTAGAGGTGTGGCTTAAGTGGCAGAGTGCCAACTTTGAGCACAAAAAGCTAACCGAGACTGGGAGCCCCTGTGTTCAAGTCCTAGTACCAGCCAAGGGGGGAAACCCAACTGTGAATAAGCCTCTGATCCAGAGGCTACCTGAGATGGGGGGGTGGGGGACACAGGTTCCCAGTAACTCTCCAAGGATGGTCTAGAGAATGTGCATTTATCCCCTGAAACCTTCCCAAGAAGGTTACTTTTGGTAACAAACCTTTTCATTGGAAATTCTTGGAATGTATGCAAAACATAAAGACTAGAGGAGATAGTTTAGTTTGGTTCATAACCATATCCAACTTTAGGGTTCTTTACCTTACTTTCATCTTTTTCTTTTGGTCAGTCATGGGGCTTGAACTCAGGGCTTGGGTGCTGTTCCTCTTTTGCTCAGGGCTAATACTCTACCACTTGGAGCCATAGCTCCACTTCCAGTATTCTGGTAGTTAATTGATTGGAGGGAAGAGAGTTTACTGTGATCCTCAGATCTCAGAGCCCTCCCCCACCCCCCTCAGTAGCTAGGGTTGCAGGTGTGAACTGGCAACACCCACCTTTGACTTTTTAATTCTATAGCATATTTTTATGCCCTTCAGGGTAACTTCTCATGCTCTACCTCCTTTGTGCCCTAGACTGGGTTGAATTGTGTCACCTCCCCATCCCTCAAAAAAAAAAAAAAAAAATAGGTTCAAGTCCTAACTCCTAGAACCTGCAACAGTGTGACCTTATCTGGAGATAGGATCTTTGAAAATGCCACCAAGTTAAAATGAGATCATACTGGATTTGAATGGCCCTCAGCCAGTGCCTGGCACGCTTATAAAAAGGAAATTTGGACCCAGATACCCACAGGAAAAATAGCATAGGAGAGAAAGCCAGGGCTGGAGTGGTACACGTGCAAGCCAAAGAAGGGAGTGTGGGCAGCCACCAGTCGGAACAAGAAGAGGCCTGCAACAGTTTTTCCCTCACAGCCTCCAGGAGGATCCCTGTGAGCTTTCCAGCTCAGAGTTCTTAAACCTTTAGATGGTGGTGATTTGTCTTTGAGGCCCTAAGGAAGTCATATATACCCTCTTACAAAGAGAGGAATGAAGAAGATGGTGTCCCCATTGTCCTCACTCTTCCACAACCTAAGAATTTCTTTGTAGAGTCACCCACCTTTCTTGGCTTCTGTTCTTTTTGTTTTTTCTTTACTTTTTCTTTTTGTTTTTTTTTAAAGAAGCAGAGCCAGGGCATCAGTGGCTCACACCTGTAATCCTAGCTACTCAAGAGGCTGAGATCTGAGGATCACAATTCAAAGCCAGGCTGGGCAGAAAAGTCCATGAAACTCTTATCTCCAATTAACTGCTAGAAGACTGAAAGTGGAGCTGTGGCTCAAAGTGGTAGAGCACTAGCCTTAAGTGGAAGAGCTCAGGGACAGTGCCCAGGCCCTGAGTTCAAGCCCCACAACCTACAAGAAAAAGAGAGAGGGGTGGGGCTGAGATCCAAGGGTCACAGTTCAACACCATCCTGGGCAGAAAAGCCCAGGAGACTCTAATTAACCACCAAAAAGCCTGAAGTAGTGCTATGGTTCAAGTGGTAGAGCACCAACCTTGAGACAATGGTCAGGCCTTAGCGCATAGCCACAGTAGCAGCAACAAAAATAAATAAATAAATCTCTCTTCCTGAACTCTTCCATACTCCTGAATCCATCTGTGTTTCTTCATGCATGTGCACACCAGCCCAGGCAGCAGACACACGTGTGGGCACACTTACTGTCCACTTCCACTGCTGCTCTGCCAGGCCTCCTTTCACTTTGCACAGACTTAGGTCTCCCCATTCTCCAGGTCCTCCTAGAACTCTCTGCTGTCCTTAGGAAGGGGCCTGAGGACCCCCAACCACATTCATACTTCGTGATTGGGGCTTCATAGTCCTGCTGCTGACCACTACTCCCCGTGAAAATTCATCTTTCTCCATCTCCTGCTGCCCCATCTCCTTGCCTTTCCTCCCACATCAACCTCTTTCACTGCGTGAACCCATCTTCCTGTTCTCTCTCCTGCCCTGGCTTCTTTCTCTCCCCATGACTCCAGTCTTCCTGTGTTCCCATGCTCTTTCCCTCCTACAGAGGAAGCACTTTGGGAATGAGATGTGACCCTCACTGGCTGTGTATCCCTAGGCTGTTTACTTGCCTTTCCTGAGCCTCATTTCAATGGTCCTACATTGGAAATGTGGATCACCCTTGAGTACAATGCTTAGGAGAATGAAAGGATGGGACTTGGGCCGGGTGATGGTGGTTTACACCTGTAATCCTAGCTACTCAAAAGGCTGAGATCTGAGAATCACAGTTCAAAGCCAGTCTGGGCAAGAAAGTCTGTGAGACTCATCTCCAATTAACCACCAGAAAGCTGTAACTGTCACTGTGGCTCAAAGTGGTAGAGCACTAGCCTTCAGCACAAAAACTCAAGATAGCACCCAGACCCTGAGTTCAAGCCCCACAACTGACCAGAAAAAAAGAATGCATGGGACTTAAATCAAGCCCTCAAGTGCCAACTGAAATGGCACTTCTGCCTGTCAGAGTACCTGGTTGAAATGCTGGCTTTTTGTGACTTCTTAACTGCCCAGTGTTGGGTAAACCTTTGTGCCTCTGTTTCCCCTCAGTATCAAATCAGTGCTCCATGGGAGTAAGGACTGCTCTTCCTGTTTTCCTTGGGGAAAAAAAGCCTGCTACCACTGGACATAGCTCAGATTTTGCATAGTTTTCAGTTTTCTGAGAGTTCAGCTGAGAGTTCCCTGTTGCCTAAATTCAGATCAGAAGAGAAGAGCCCTCCAGCTTGCTCCCTGCTGTATTCCATGGACCAGGTGCTCAGTGGATTTTTTTGTAGGTAATAAATGAACATCTGAATGTAATAAACTAGGGAACTCTACATTAAGGCCCTCCTTCAAAAGAATATCAGCATTCTGGAGGGGGTGGCTCAATGGTACAGTGCATGCTTTGCATGGGAGGCCCTGGGTTTGATCCTTACCATTACAGAAAAACACTAAATACCCTACACTGGTGTTTCACACCTATAATCCTAGCTACTCAGGAGGCTCAAACCTGAGGATCAAGGTTTAAAGCCAGCCCAGGCAAGAAAGTCTGTGAGACTCATCTCTAACAACCAAAAAGCTATAAATGGAGCTATGGTTCAAACAATAAGCACCAGCCTTAAGCGCCCTAGCCCTGAGCTCAAGCCCCAGTACACAATCAGCTTTAAAATGGTGATTCTTCACCACATTCTGATGCCTTATGTCTATAATCCTATGCTCAGTAGGCTGAGATCTGAGGATTATGATTTCAAGCCAGC